ATGAATCACCCACAAAATCAAGTCAAAGGGTCTCTGTTATTTTTCTCATTTTTACCCCAAAAACAATCTAGAACGGGACCCCGTCAGCATAGGCTTTGCAAAAAGTCCGGGACCCTTTTTGGCCCTAGTGGCATTAAAAAAGAAGGGAAGTAACCCCAGAATAAGGACTTACTACCTCAAGTCCTAATGGATAGGGATTCCCTTCTAAACATAAGATGATAATGCTACTCCCCTCCTCCCATCCCATCATCATCACCAGACTTCAATAAAAGTAAAGTGTCATTAATTGTGCATCTTTTTCCAGTTGGTGTTGTATTAAAATTAACATTTCATGTGGTAAAAAAAAAATTTTTTCATACTTTTGGGCGTCTTGCACGGATTAATTTTATTTCCATTATTTCTTATGGGGAAAATTCATTCGCATAACGATTATTTCGCATAACAATTATCCCTCTTGCACGGATTAAAATCATTAACCGGGGGTCCACTGTACTCCATTCTACTGAATGCACAGCAATACAGTAAATGACCATATGACCTGTCTTTGAAATACTCATTAGTGCTTAATTGTTATCTGTTTACAATAATGTTTACCACTGAATATATCAATGCTTAGTTAATCTTAAGTTAATTTTAAGCCTGCCCATAATGCTCTGCATACAAGGGGCTTTGGCATGTTACACTTAACCACTGTATTTCTTTGTACTTCTATGTATCATGTTCAAATTAATAAATAAATAAATAAAAATAAACAAGCACAAAAAAAATAGATTACATATTACAAAATGTTTTGGATGAATGCTCACTCAACCAGTGACAGAGCCAGACTGAAACACGTATGCATGAGTGGCGGCATCCCGGGCAGGTGGATGCGTCTGATACAGACGATTTCCGGGACGCGGTACAAAATCCAGGAGCAAAATTTTGTCAAAAAAAGTGGTCGAAATCAGAATCATATGATATCCGGTGCGGATGAAATCCGGGGTTCCACTGTACTGGTATTTATTTTACTGTGGATCAAAACTCAACCAACCACAGTAAAATTAATGATACAATAATGTCACTATGAAAGTATCTTACTTGTTGACATGCTTGCGTACACCATCTCGCAGCTGGTTTTTGTTCATGTCATTTTTCCAAGTGCTCTTCTCAAGGAACTTGTTAACATGGCCTTCCACACGCTGGCGAAGGTTTTGGAAGGCTGGCTGAAATTCATTAATTGTAAAAATAAAGTTTGTAAAACCTGGGACAAATAAAAATAGGATATTTAACATAATCACATATGGATGTTTTTATAACTTTTTAATATTTACAGACCTTTCTAATACTCTCTAAGGCAGACAGTGAGGGAAAGTCAGATTGGGAAAGGAGTGTATCAAAAGGGAAGTACAGTGGAACCTCAAAAATTGAACTCCTCCCAACACAACCAATTATGTAAGTGTATTTTTGTAAGTGCTTTTATAAGTGTATTTTTAAGGGTCTGAAATGGACTAATCTAATTTACATTATTCCTGATGGGAATAAATTCATTCGGTAAAGGCACTAGAACAGACTTCTGGACCGAAGAAAGTTTGATATTTGAGGTTCCACTGTACAGTCAACCCTTGATATAATGGACTTTTAAAATTATGGGTAAAATTGTGCTTTAAACTTTGTCATTTTCCATATTTAAATTGCAATATAGCTGTAAATTGTTTGTACAGTACTATATTAGGTATAGAGGGGACTTTCATTCCTTTTTTTTTTTTTTTTTTTTTTTTTTTGCTGTTTTTAACATTACAAGCATCTTGCCAATAGAGTGCTTCACTTAAGAGCACTTCATTAATACGGCATTTTACAATTACAGTGGACCCCCGCTTAACGATCACCTCCCAATGCGACCAATTATGTAAGTGTATTTATGTAAGTGCGTTTGTACGTGTATGTTTGGGGGTCTGAAATGGACTAATCTACTTCACAATATTCCTTATGGGAACAAATTCGGTCAGTACTGGCACCTGAACATACTTCTGGAATGAAAAAATATTGTTAACTGGGGGTCCACTGTATATTCATGGTAAGTAAAACACACAGGCAACATTTAGGCAACTTTATTCCGAAACGCTTCACCTACACAGTAGGCTTCTTCAGTCGAGTACAGAAAGCAGGCAGGAGCATTAGAGATGTGAAGATAATGTAATCAGTCAGTCCCTCAGCCTGGAGAAGAATTCTGTTTCATAGTATGAAACAATGTGAAGAACAAGTGACAGTGTGGAGACTTACATACTGTCAGCAGGAGAGATGTAGAGTAGTAGAAGAAAGAATGTAATCATCGAGAGGTCACGCCCCTCTCAGATTCAACCATTCTCTCTTGAAAAAGTTGTCCAAGGTGTTTTCTCTTCTATACCAAGATGCCATTGTGTTGCAGTGTCTGACAGAGTGAATATCAACATGGTATACAATACCGACACATTGGTAAAGTGAATATCAAAATGGTATACAATACCAGCACATGTCAGTATTGTATAACATATTGATATTCACTTTACCAACATGTCAGTATTGTATACCATTTTGATATTCACTTTACCAATGTGTCAGTATTGTATACCATTTTGATATTCAATTTACCAACATGTCAGTATTGTATACCCATTTTGATATTCACAATTATATTCATATTTATTATCTTCAGTGGTGAAAATATTTTAAGGTTAGCCATACAGTACTGTATTATTTTTACTTATGCATCATTTTTTAGGCTTACCACTACTGCGCACTTAATGATAGTGTAAATATGTTTTAAGAATTTTATATGCATTGTAAAGTTTAAAAAAAAAAAAAAATAGGCTGTGATTTGCTTGAAGCCTTTTTGCTTTTCAGCAGTGGTCTGGAACTGAACCTGCCATATAAGCAAGATATGCCTGTGACAATCCCCCCTCTTAGTCCATTACATCAAGGGTGTACTACATATTAGAAAGAGGTTTTCTGGTGTACTTAATTATATTAATGTTTCTGAGTTCATAAGAAGAGGAGGCAATTTCCAATAACCAGACAGGAGCAGTTGGAGAAGTAGTGCTCAAAAATGTACACTAAATGATCTACTCATCAGCCACCCAGCACCTACTTACCACCTATTTGTCCAAAGATTCCCATCACACCCTGGCTGTATGGGCATACCGTCAGTTTCTTAATCCAAGTTAACAGCTTAAAAAGCCTCAACCCCGATATAAAATTTTTTTGCTAGGTTAGGAATGGTACAATTAAATTATCCTTTAGTTGAACTTCTTTATTCAAGTTATCCTGGGTGGCTAACCCTTCGGGTTAAAAATAGAAACAAATCTTAACTTTGAGTCAAGAACACTTTGAGCTCTAAAGTAGAGACTAAAGTAAATTCTCATCATATATACACAAAGACATACACCTCAGATAGTATATATCCTGTTTTAGTTATTATTTGATTTGCTGGTTAATGTGTTTTCATACCTATTTTATTTGTATGTTAATGTTTCGAGTTTGCATGTTGTATTAGAGTGAGAGAGAGAGAGAGAGAGAGAGAGAGAGAGAGAGAGAGAGAGAGAGAGAGAGAGAGAGAGAGAGAGAGAGAGAGAGAGAGAGAGAGAGAGAGAGAGAGAGACAGAGAGAGAGAGAGAGAGAGAGAGAGACAGAGAGAGAGAGAGAGAGAAAGAGAGAGACAGAGAGAGACAGAGAGACAGAGAGAGAGAC